TATCTATCTATCTATCTATCTATCTATCTATCTATCTATCTATCTATCTATCTATTCATCCATCCATCGATCTATCGATCGATCCATCTATCAATCGATCGATCGTAATGAAATAAGCAATTGCGACAGTGCTAGTTTGTTTTGTTTGTTTGTTTGTTTGTTTGTTTGTGCGTTTTACTTTAAATTACGTCTTACTGTTGGAATGTAAAGAAAAAACTCCAAGTTGATGAGAGGGTCAGACAGAAGCGTTATTATAATATGTATATTGTGTATAAGTTACAAGTTTCTATGTGTGTGTGTGTGTGTGTGTGTGTGTGTTCGTGTGTGTGTGTGTGTGTTCGTGTGTATGTGTGTGTGTGTGTGTGTGTGTGTGTGTGTGTGTTTGTGGTAGCCTATCCGTTCGAAATGTTTGGAGCCCCGAAGAGCGTTGTTGTTGTTGTTGTTGTTTTTGGATGACATTTTTGTTGGTATTATTGTGGTTTTTTATTCGTCTTTCAGGAGGTGGGGTGGAATGGGTGCGAAACATCTTGTATTTCGTAAAATTCTGTGAAAATAGAAATGTTTCATATAAAAATTAGGTTAAAAAGAAGAATCGATGCAGAGTCTGAAACAAAACACGCACAAAAACTGCCTTGCATACGCTTACAATACCATAAATATTATATAAACGAAATCTTTTCAACATTATCGACCATATAATTCACATTTCAACCTGACTGAGAATATTATATTTTATTCGTGCTAGTCAACTCGAAATACACGAAAGCAAAAATGACACACCCTTTCTTTGGTAGGGTAAAGAAGCCATAAACAAACTTTTATGCAAACGTCTTTCAAATCATACTAGATCTAGATCTAGCAGTAAATCTGTAACTTAGCTTTTAAGTTTTCTGTTGAAAAATCAAAAGTCAAATTTAATCCCTTGAGATGAAATCAAATCTACCACCTCGTTAACTTTATGAAATAGTGTTTTTAAGTAATCTCTTTTAATTGCTATCACCGGCCAGTAATGTATATAATTTCAGAACCTGGGGTCATTTGGCTTAAACCATATGACGCAAAACGGTATTACGGAACCTTCGAAACGTGTAACGCAATTTTCGCAACGCTCTGCTGCCTCCTGAAATCATAGCTCCCTAATAATAATAACCTTTTCAACAATTCGAAAAGGAATGAAAACAGGATATAAACTTGCACTCTATATACAGCCTTATGTGTTGCTTTCATTTTCAAATTTTAGAGGGTACGAGGCCCTCGTGCAAGCAATGTGTCAACACACAAATTGTAAGAAAGGAATACAGCCCCAGGACCTGAAGTTTTTAACCCTTTCAGCTCAGGACAACCGCACAGTCTCGCCAGAGTGTTTACTGTACCTCCTGGTCTCACTCACGTGTCGATGTATGTCTTCTGGGCGTGATTTATTTTTCTTTTTAATATCGATTTTGGTTCGGGTTCAGCTTTTGCACTTTTGCAAACCGGTAGACCTAAATAATAATATTATATTATTATTTATGACAAGTCGAACTTTCCAGCCTCTGTGGTGTAGCAGTTAGGAGCTTTGTAGTCACGCACAGGGGACCCAAGTTCGATTCCCGAACGTATGGGGTGAATTATTATCGAATGTCTGGGTCCTTCTGATTGGATGTTATATCCCCCTTGCTCTCAGCCCGAGTTCGTGTTGAAAGGCAGAATCGAAACCCGCCTCCTAAAATGTGTAATTGTGCCGATGCGGGTAGTAAAAACACCTACAACCCCCTCCC